CTGACAAACTTTACCCTGGAGAAGAACTTTGTTATCAACACCATCAACAGGCTGGGATCTATGGCGCCCGAACCTACATCAACAACAGGTAACGTCAAGCAAGCAAGTGTTCTACAGATTTACCCAAAAGAAATTAAAATACACACCAATCTTCAGTAACACTGTGACTCTGCAGAAACGACTACAGACTAAAGTATTTCAAATCGTGCTACATAAAAATGGTTGATTAATATTCATGCTGAGAACACAACACCAAAACAACAGTTTGTTGTTGTTTTTTGAGCAAGTTGCTAAATACCCAACAAGAGAAAATGAATAATATTACAACTGTGATTCATCCAGGGATGTTTTACTTGTTAAGGCTACAGAGCCACTTGTCACTTGCTGACATTATAAATTATGATTGGAGTAAAGCCTGCAACCGCCGTGCTGCTGTAAATGCATCGGTGTTACCGAGTAACCCCTAACAGATTTATCTGTGATGCTTTTCCAAAAAGATTTACAGAAATAATAAATGTAAAAGTTTGACTTTTAGACTGATTAAAGATGTGTGTATCTGCTAGGCACAAGAGTTGGAGTTGTACAATACAGTCACAACGGGACCTTTGAGAGCATTCGTCTCGATGACCCAAACATAAACTCCATGACTGCATTCAAAACTGCAGTGAAGAATCTGAGGTGGATTGCTGGGGGCACCTTCACCCCCTCTGCTCTGAAGTACGCCTATGATAACCTCATCAGGGACAGCAAGAGAGCCCGATCCAAAGTGTCCGTCGTCGTGGTCACAGACGGCCGCTTTGACCCCCGAGACGACGACAATCAGCTCACATACCTCTGCAACGACCCCGCTGTGGTGGTGAATGCCATCGGGATAGGGGACATGTTTGACACCAGACACGACAGCGAGACTCTGGTGTCAATCGCATGCAACAAGAAGGATCGGGCTACTGAGATGAGGCGCTACAGCGATTTGGTGGCTGATGAATTCTTAGAAAAGATGGAAACTGTCCTCTGTCCTGGTAAGCCTGTACCAATGATCTCAGCAGCCTGACAGTACTAGTCCTTGTGTGTTTGTCTAACCTATGATTTCTCACCAGATCCAGTCATTAAGTGCCCTGATCTCCCCTGTACAAGTGGTGGGTTTTATTCATAGTTATATGATTGGTTTATGATGAAACGCACTTCAGGAAGTGATTGCTCTTTTTTGTTTCGTTTCAGAACTTGACTCAGCACCTTGTGTTGCGAGGCCTGTGGATTTGGTATTTCTATTGGATGGTTCAGAGCGTCTCGGGGAGAGAAACTTCCTCCTTGTTCGTGAATTTGTTCAGAAGGTTGCAGACAGGCTGGTACTGGCCAGGACCAGGACCGATCGAGAGCGAGCCCGTCTGGCACTGATGGAGTTTGGCAAGGAGTCAGAGAATCGGGTGGCTTTCTCTCTAACACATGACCCTGTCCAGATTGTTAACAGTTTAACAGCTTTACAGTATCTAGATTCTTCTTCAAGCGTGGCGCCCGGCATCATACATGCCATCAACAACATCCTGGTTAGAGGAAGCGCCCGGCAAATGAGGCCCAATGCAGAGATTTCATTCGTTTTCATTACAGATGGTGTCACTAACAGCGACAACCTGGACGAAGCGATCAGTGCCATGCGTCGTCACGAGGTGGTCTCCACGGTGATTGCCACAGGAAGTGATGTTGATCAAGAAGTCCTGACAAAGCTGGCTATGGGGGACCAGCACGCCATCTTCAAAGCAGAAAAATTCTCAGATTTTTTAAGGTCCGGTATGTTTGATCGTTTCATCCGGTGGGTGTGTTAGAGAGAGAATGCTCCTGTGAGCCAATACTGGTGCTACAGCTGTTAATCCAACATTTTCAAGGATAATTAAAATTTATTTCAACCTGATAGTATTTTACATTAATGTGGCTGTTGTGGCTCTATTGAGGAAAGCATCCTACAGTGAAACAAGACTGTGCTCTCTGCAGCTTTATACTGGGTCATAGTGCAGTCCTTGATTTTACCCTCTGAGGATATCTCAGATATCTCTGAGGATATTCTCCATCTTTGAGACCATGCAAGAGCCAACTTCATCCTCCACTTTGTTTAACACCTCACATGTGTACTAAAATTTAAATTAAAACAAAACTTTGACGGGATTTTGTTTTAGCAATTTGTAGAAAATCATCCCAACACTTTCATTTTTGGATGCAGATGCAATTAGCAACAGGTCCACTCCAGGCAGCTAAATTCTAAGCTTAGGTCAGAATCAAAAGCAAAAGTTAAAAGACTACATTGTCTGGATAACCTCAGGAGCTCGCGCTTGTTTCCTCTTGAAGCTTGTAGAGCTGCAATGGCCAAACTGATTGGGGAATACACAAGGTTGAAATAAACTAGATTTCTTCTTTAACCCATAGACAGTATATAAAAGAAACACAGGCACCCACTGTGTTTGAAAAGTGAAGCCATGTGCCATACAACTGAGGGTCTCTAGGTGCTTCCTTGTTCTGTCAGTGGTTAAAGTAATTCATTGGCAGCTGCAGCTCAAGCAGAATTTATGGTCCCGCAACGGTGGTGCGTTCACTGTCCGGTAGCAATCCAAGGATGGCCTGTCTGCCTGTTGCCAGATGGAGGCAGTGTGCAAAATATGTGGTACAGCAGTCTGTGGGTCACTCTAGCTTGTGCTGCTGTTGGTACATCAGACAGCCGTGGAGAAGAGCAACTTTATAACATACAAAGAGCTGAAGTGAAAATGAGTGTTTAAAAACAATGAAAAGTGTCCAATGTCTGTGCTTTTCATGTTGTATTCTTCCGCTAGCAGTCCCTGCTCTATTCTGGCCCTCTTGTCAATGAATCAACATTCGGCACACGCTTGCATCATCTGCTTCTAGACACGTGCAGTCAGAATGTTGAGAGGCCTGCACCGGAGTATGTCTGGGGTGGGTGGAAAAGAAACGTGTACACAGACAGACACATTTACAGGACCATAAATTACACTTTGCCTTGTGTAACTCAATTTAAGTGGGACTAGATTTTTTTAATATATACTATATTACCAAAAGTATTCACTCACCCATCCAAATCATTGCATTCAGGTGTTTCAATCACTTCCATGGCCACAGGTGTATAATATCAAGCACCTCCATATGCAGACTGTTTCTGCAAACTTTTATGAAAGAAAGCTCTCAGGACATCAGTGAATTTCAGTGTGGTACCGTGATAGGATGTCACCTGTGCAACAAATCCAGTTATGAAATTTCCTCGCTACTAAATATTTCATAGTCAACTGTTAGTCGTATTATAGCAAAGTGATGACAGGGACCCAGCCATGAAGTGGTAGGCTACATAAAGTCACAGAGCAGGATTAACAGCTGCTGAAGATCATAGCATGCAGAGGTCACAAACTTCCTGCAGAGTCAATTGCTAAAGACTTCATGTAACCTTCAGATTAGCCCAACAACAGTCTACAGAGAGCTTCATGAAGGTTTCCAAGCACAACACAAAGTGTCAGGGTTGTTTTTCAGGAGTGGGGCTTTGCCCCTTACCCTTTTAATGCCTCAACACAAAACACAACAAGATATTTTGGACAATTTCATGCTCCCAATGTTGTAGAAACAGTTTAGGGAACAGCTGTTCGCAGTGCACAAAGTAAGGTTCATAAAGACATGGATAAGCGCGTTTGGCGTGGAAAAACTCGTGAGCTGTGGGCCAAACCTTCTCGTCCAACATCAGTGCCTGACCTCACAAATGTGCTTCTAGAAGAATGGTCGAAACTTCACATAAACACACTCCTAAACCTTCCCAGAAGAGTTGAAGTTGTTACAGGTGCCCAGGGTAGGCTGACAATAATAAACCATTAAGAATGGGATGTCACTCAAGTTCATATGCATGTGAAGGTAGACGAGTGAATACCTTTGGTATATAGTGTATATGGATAAGTGGGACAAAACCTTTTCCATTTTGAACCATTGTCAGCATACTCATGGCCCTAATTAAATTGGCATTCCCACTTCAGAAAAAGGTTTTTTTTCTCCAAGAGTTTCTCACATGTTTCACCCTTTTTTCCAAATATGGTCACTTCTGGCTCCAAAGTGCTAAAGTCAAGGATTCAAAATGGTGATCCACAAACCAAAGGTTGGCATTATGGTGGCAACGTTCTCTTTTTTTTTTTATACAGTCTATGCTTTAAACACAAAACTGGTTTAGTTTGCTATGCACTGTATAATTTGCAAATGATGTCACAGCATTGTGCTTTGCTACATCTTGTCAGAAGATCAATCAGTATTTTCATACACAAAAATATAATGCAAGACATGCGCTCTTAATCAACCATAAGGCTTTTAATGATTTTTCATAATAAACTGTCAGTTTGTTGGGCACTGCATTTCTGTCTTCTGTAAAGTCTATAAGGGTTTCTTTATTTTTCAGTGCATACAGTAGCCATAATTACTACATAAGTACCACCTTAAGACTCACAAGAACTGCAGTAATTTTTAAAATCTCAAACAGAACACAGAAAGCCTTTGCCTGAAGTATGCGGAATATTTTTTGTAATTTCTAAAGTGAAGTACTTTTAGACAGCATGTGTAAACCACAGTTGATCCATTAAGTGCAGAGTTACAAAGTATGGCAGGACTCCAAGTGGGAGGAAGGAACAATGGACGGCTGAACTGGTTTGGTCTGGCTGGACTGAGAGCGTGCATTCTTTTAATTTCTCTGGAGTCCACCGCAAACACTCCTCTTCCATCTTTTTTTCTCTTTACATCATATCCAGCTGCACAGAGAGGAAAAAAAAACAAAACATGCAACCTCTAAGAGTTTATATCTGAGAGCTCAACACATCACACACGCCCCATGTAGATACACAGGAAATGGTTTTAACACCATTCGAGTCACAACAGTTACATAAACACGTATTTAAATAAAAATTAAGAAATGTCAGAAATAAAAACTGCACGCTTACCAAGTCATCAACATCTCCAGTATCTTCAACTGGTGCAGGAGCTGCCTCCTCTTTCTTCTCCTCAGCAACCAGAAACTGAGAAGAAAAAAAAAACAGTTTCAGTCAAAGAAAGAGACTAAAGATCATCTCAAATTCATACGTGTACCAAATTCAAATTAAAGTCACCTGATTAGCTTCGGCTTTGGAGACCGAGCTTCCTTCCACCTCATCCTTGCTGATCAGCGTTAAACCATCTGTTGATCAAACTCAATGTTAGATACAAACTGCCTGAATTTGAGGCAAAACTTTTTTTTCTCCCCGCAAAGAAATAAAATGAAAAAAAAAAAAAAATCACTATTTTCATCAGAATATTTTAGGTTTGCAATGTTTCTTTAAACAATTTTCATAGTTTTTATGAATTAACAGTTTAGGAATTGCAATTATTTAAATATACAGGCCCTCGGTTCTAAAACTAACTCAAAAAATCAAAACTACCTGGTTTACTAACATAATTTTAAATATAAGGATTGTTTTCAATACTGAAAATCCTTTACAGCCAATAGAAGCTTGAAGTCTAGAAGCTTTGGACATCACTAAATGTTATATTTCCTCCCTTGAGATGATCTGCTACACCTTCACCTCAACAACCTTCAGTTGCTGCTTTTTTGTTGGTCTGTCTGGTTTCTGTTTTGTATTTAATAACGAAAATCTGCTTTAATGAGTGACTGATATGGTGACTGATGTGGCCATTGTAGACTTATCCCATTTCTTTCCCTTGGGAAACTTGGGTTGCTTTTGCAGTTTGCTTTTTTTGCAATTTGCTCTTCAATCAGTTTTCAGCATTTGACAGGATCTGAGCAGAGATAATGAACTGATCACTCTGTTTCTATCAGCAATCAACAAGTGACCACCGGCATAAGACTGCCTCCACTATGTTTGACAGATGATGTGGTACAAATTAATCTTGTTTTCATCTGTCCAAAGAACTCTGCAGGCACTGTTAGGTGCTTCCTGTCAAAGTCTAATTTGGCCATCCTCTTCTTGAGCATAAGAAGACAAAACCAAGTTGTAAACCCTCTGTTTTTCCATTTATGAAGGCATCTCTTGATTGGACCTACTTCCTTCTGAGTGTTCTTGACTTGGTTAGATATTGCGAAGTTGGGAGAAACACCACAGCTCTAATTAAAATGGTGTATCATACCTTGAACGAGCAGTTCCCAGAACACCTCTAGTCCTCTGTTTGGGATGCTTCCTTTCAGGGACTGAAGGTAGCTATTGTAGTGTTCAGCATTTCCCAGCTGAGTACGAAAGATAAAACATTTAAATTCCGTTTAACAGTCTTGAAAAAACTCTAATCTACATACAGACACATAAGCAAATAATTGTGTGTTCAAGAAAAGAAACAGAGTCATAATCTTATTAAGGCTCATAATCCTAAAAACGCCAAACCAACAGCAAACACCGCATCATCATTCGCTCCTCCAAAGGAAGAGCAATGTGAATGTTTATTTACCTTAACGGATTGCTCTCTGAAAGCCTGGATACAGGTGATGCTTTTCATGTAGTACTGTGTGTTCTTGTTGCTTAGCAACTGCTCTATCCTGTGAGTCAGCTGCTGGCAGACTGGAAGGACATAAGGGTCACCGCAACCAAACAAAGAGATAAACATAATTACAGGGGCTGTACATGAGTGATTACGGTTTATAGTACAGGCAGGAAAAAAATTAAAGTAAATAAATAAATAAATTCTGGAGCTCACCTTCTCCGAACGGAAGAATTTTCTGTTTGATCAAAGCGCGGAAGTCTCGAGCTGGGTCAACACTTCCCACCTGGTTAGGGAATGAAATGGAAGTTTTAAAACGTGTCAGTTAAAAAAATTGATGATTATCCAGAACAGATAATAGTTATCTCCATCAAGGACACTGCGTGATGTCATGCTGCTTGTTTGTTAACGAGAATATCTGAATAACTTCTGTCATATCCATCCATGTGGATCCAGGTGTTTTCAGGATACTTCACCACTCCACAAGAGGGCAAAATTGAACATTTGTGCATTTTATATGTTCAGAAATATTTAAGTTTAACTGTTAAGCCACTATCTTGATGCTGTTATCATGTGATCAAGAAGATCCAAAGATTTAATTCATCCATGCTGTAGAAGAAATTTTCAGCCTCTCTTATAATAGAGATCAACTGTCCTGGATCCTGGATAAAAGAGGCCCTGTAGCCTTTACACAATCTGCTGGAACAATGTGTTGGAAATATATTCATGTGACAACTTTATCTTAAACTAATTTTCCTCCCTATAATGGTTCAGTGAGCTTTATCATCAAAATGCCCATCCACCAACAGAAAATACTGCCACATCTCAAAAGACAGCATGTTTTTTGGAAGGATGGAAGAAGAGCCATTTAAGTACCTGATAGGACAGACAAACAGGAAGGACCGAGCTTGCATAAAAGCAAGCATGAAAGGGGCGAAGTGCACCAGCGGGAGGGACATATGGTGGACAAAGTGGAGCAGGTGTGACTTAATTTCTGTTATTTGTCTCCTCTTTTAGTTCCTTTGTATGTAGATTGAAAAAATATTCATAGGGGAGGTGGCTAGCTGCAGCACAACCACAGCGGGCCCATCTCCTAGGATTATTAAGTCGTCCAGCCCTCCCCCTGATTCTCACCGAGGTAACAGAGCCTTCAGCAATGTCGGCCAAGTTATACTCCTCTGCTTCGTCTTCTTTTACTTTCTTTGCCTCGGACTCCTCTGACCTTCAAATGAAAAATGGCAGCTTGTTAATATCTTGAAAGTCAATCCTGCTTTTTTTGTTGTTGTTTTAACATTTTTATAACCAGTAAATGTAAATGAATCTTGCAACAGACTACCGTGAAATGAAACAGCATAAATCATATAATCCTTTCCAATATGCATTATTGTCCATGACGCACCACGTCACAGAAGCTAAACTTACTCTTTGCCAAAAATCTGAGCACTAGTTTTAAGCTTCTTTTTCTTCTCCACTTCAGTGAGAGGAAATTTCCTTTTCAGCACGTCAAGTGGATCCTGGCAGCGTTCTGTAATAACCTCAGGACGATCAAGAGCAGCTTTCAGCCATGGCTCTATCGGAGGAAGAGGGGTACCGGG